TCCAATCCATCTCCATTTCCCTGGTTAGTTTGTTCCAGAGGTTTGCGTTGTTAATTTTTTTTTCTGGCCGGTCATTTGATTTTTTCACTATAGAAAACGAAGGCAGCAATTGATCAAAGTTTCTCGTTCCATAAAAGAGAAGAACTAGTTAGACAGTGGTGTTAAAATTCCGAACCTTGTTCTTTATGTTGAGTGAAGAAGGTTTGCAAAAGGATTTTCACAGTGATGAAAGTCTACTTTACCTTTCCAACTCCGGTTTTGAAAATTATATGCATTCTGCCCGTGGCTGAAATGATATTTCCTAGATAAGTGAAAGAAATAACCCTTTGTCAAATCTTTTCCGTTGATAGTGATGGGTAATGGTTGTTCTTATTTGTCCGTGGGGATCTTAATTATCTGCCTCTTCTCTAATCCTGTCTTCGCTGCCATCCTCTTGAGCCATGTTGTGGGTCTTCGCCTGTTTTGCGCATTTAGGTTCCTGTAGAAGTTTGATTCATTTCTCCGCGGTGGGGTCTCCAGCCGAATTCCCAACCCTTCCTCTTTTCCCGAGCTTTGAACCACCAGCTAGAAAACTAGTGAGCTAATTAACTAAACGAAGTTGTAGAAACTAGAAGTTAAAATTTAGTGAACTGTATAATTAAACCATATTAATATATGTGTAAAACTTGAGCAATGTGGTAGTAAGTATGTGGTGAGAGCAGGCTGCTAGCCGATTGGTTGACATTAATCTACGTCAATGTCTAGGTCACTAATGTGGGCCGTGAGAAAATATGAACAAGGATGTTTCAACAACCAATCACAGCTAACTTAAACGTGGGCAAATATGATTCGCAGATAGATGGCTCCACTTTCTGAGGAACTCGAAAACAACCAATCAGAAGACTGCGTTTGTCTACTTGACTAGGCTATAATAATGTATGTGAAATATATATACAAATACGTGTTGATTTTCGTAATAAAAGGATCTGTTGCCAGCTTTTGTCTTCTGTTGTTACATTTTATTTTTTTATTTTTTTTTATTTTATTTTTGATTTACAGCTTGATTCCACACTGTATTTTTGACACAAGTATGGAATTTTCAGCGTGGATATCGGTAGCCCAAATTTTGCAGGCCGACCATAGATATCAGATGTGCGTCGGTGCGGGCTCGAACCCCGGACCATGTGCATGGTCGGCGAGAGTCCTAACCACTGTGCCACCGACGCCTCCAAAAAATGAAGATCCCGTGGCCAGCTACGTTTGAAGAAGGAGACATACGGAGCTTCTTACGTGACTTCGAGGCCGTCGCTGAGCTGGTGGGTATCAAGGAACAGGTGGCGAAGGCGGCATATGACAGAGTAGACAGGTCAAATGGCGCAGCGTCTTGGAAGAAATTGGTTGAACGACTAGTGTCGGAGTTTGACAGCGAAACAGACAGACAGCTAACAATGCAGCAGTTCCGGTCAACGAAGCTGGGACCTAATGGAGACCCGCTAGTGTTGGCGGTGAAACTGACGAATCTACTTCGACGCGCGCTTCCAACTTTGGATGAAGAATCAGAAGCGCAGTTACTGTCTTCCCAATTCATCGAGAGTGTCCCAGACCACATTTCTGAGCGATTAAAACTGGTTAACTCAACTCAGCCGATGGATATTAGTGAGCTGGCGAAGGTGACCAGACAGCTGCTGAGCACAACGGTAGCCGCTATATACCAGCCAAAACCAAACGAATATGAGCAGAAAATTGAAGCATTGCAGCGAGAAGTGGCGGCGTTAAAGTTGGCTGATAGAAAAGACCGATGTTTGGAATGCAGTAAGCCGGGACACTGGAGAAGATACTGCCCAGAGAGGCGAAAAAGAAAAAGTTTCAGACGGTATAATACTTGTTCTTTCCCTCGTATGAAACTAGATTTAGTGGGGGCTATTGAGAAAGGAGCTGTGTATCCGAAGTTGCGAGTGAATGATCGAGAAGTAGTATGTTTAATAGTAACAGGGACGGCCGTGTCGTTAATAGATAGGAATTTATGTAAGAGTGTTAGTCCGTGTTCATTGTCAGTAGAAACAGTGGGCGGGCAAGTGTTGCGTATCACAGGTAGATCGAACTGTACGGTCGTTGTTGGCGGCTGCGAGCTGACGTTTCCTTTCATTGTTGTACCCGAACTACAGCGAACGATATTAGGAGTGGATTTTCTGCGGGAGATTGGTGCAATAATTGACACGCAAGCGAACGTTGTGATCACGAAATACGGGCATATCAACATGTATGAGAACAGCGAGATAGCAGTGGTTAAGCTGTCGACAGTCAAGAATGTAATGAAGAAGCAACGGAGTGATGTCGCGACGTCTCAGCTGAAAAGAAAGACTCAGTGCAATACCCCTGCAGTCGGGGACCAAGTGAAGTGTAGAGACAAAAGATGTACAGTTCACGGAAACTCCTTCCAAAGTGGGAAGGACCGTACACAATCGCAAAAAGACGGTGTCAAGTATATACCATCCGAAGAGGTGATAAACAGAAACGAGTTAACGCCAGTCAGCTCCAAAGATGGGTACAGTGGGATAAGCCGGTCAGTGACAATCCTCAACTAGAGGATGTAGCACCCAGAAGGTCGGGACGTCTGCGCAAGAAGCAATTTGACAGGTCGACGAGTGTGGTGAGAGCAGGCTGCTAGCCGATTGGTTGACATTGATCTACGTCAATGTCTAGGTCACTAATGTGGGCCGTGAGAAAATATGAACAAGGATGTTTCAACAACCAATCACAGCTAACTTAAACGTGGGCAAATATGATTCGCAGATAGATGGCTCCACTTTCTGAGGAACTCGAAAACAACCAATCGGAAGACTGCGTTTGTCTACTTGACTAGGCTATAATAATGTATGTGAAATATATATACAAATACGTGTTGATTTTCGTAATAAAAGGATCTGTTGCCAGCCCTTGTCTTCTGTTGTTACAAATAATTCCATATTAGTTTGTTTATTAGATATATCGCACAGTGAGTGAAACAGTATTATTTACTGGATGAAAATGTTTCGAACACAGTTTATCTCTGTGCATAATCATATCATCAATTATAATCACACGGTAACAGAAGCTTTGATCATCGAATCAACTGCAAATACGTGTAATAGGAATGACTCAACACCGGTTCCAGATATCTGAAAATTCCACTAACGACAAATAGAAGAGGACAAAGAAAACTATAAAAGTCAAGTTTCGAACTCGTGTGATTATAATTGATAATATAATTATGAATGCGAATAAATTGTGTTCGAAAGTTTGTCATCCAGGAAATAATACTATTTCATCACTGTGTGATATATCTAATGAACAGAATAATAAGAAAAGTATAATTAAACCATATTCCTTCATGAAAAATCTAGTATTATAAAATATAATCAAGTAAATCCTGTAGCCTCGTAAGCTTCTGGATTCAACTTCTGATGGAGTTTCTGATGTTTATTACTGAAGTCCATCGAAACAAAACAAACATGTACAGTTGTTAAACACTCCAACTCTTTTAACCAGTTTATACTCCTGTCCATCCGAAGCAAAATACTAAGCCGCATCATACTGGAGAGAATTAATCAAGCCCTGGATCAAAAACTTCGACCAGAACAGGCTGGATTCAGGAGAAACAAGTCATGTTTTGATCAAATCGCCACTCTACGGATCATCATTGAGCAAAGCTTGCAAAAATCGCAGTCACCTCTCTACCTCACACAACTTCATTGACTTTGAAAAGGCCTTCGACAGCGTCGATCGAGAGGTGATTTGGCAACTACTTCGCTACTACGGGATTCCGCCAGCAATCATACATCTCATCCAACAGTTATACGACAATGCTGCATGTCAAGTAATCCACAACGGGAAACTTACGGAATCCTTCGAAGTGAGGACGGGAGTGAGGCAAGGCTGTCTACTATCACCAATGACCTTCCTGATTGCAGTAGATTGGATAATGTAACAGACAGCGGCGGGCAGTGAGGAAACAGGCATGAAATGGACTCACACAAAATCAACTTGGAGGATCTGGACTTCTCCGATGGTGATATATGTCTGATTTCCCACAAACTGGATGATATACAAGTGAAAGCAACAAGTTGTCAGAAGAAACAACCAGAGAAGATAGGACTTCGGGTGAATATAGAGAAAACAGGGGTAGGCGATGAAGATTCCTAGCCAACAGCATCTACAACAACAACAGACAACAATCTGCCGGCATAAATGGGAGAAATCTGGAAGAAACAACCTCTTTTATCTACCTAGAGGTCATCGTTTCAACTACAGGCGGATAGAACTGATGAGGAAATCAAAACTGAGATCAGTAAAGAAAGGCAAGCTTTCATTTCTGTCAAGTCTGTGTGGAGATCAACAGCACTTACCATCAAAAATAAGATCCGGATTTTCAACTCCAATGTGAAGTCAGTCAGTGCTACTCATTATACGGATCAGAGACTTGCACTGCGCGTCATAAAGAGCATCTCAAACAAACTTCAGACCTTCATTAACAGTTGTCTTCGCTCACTACTCAAGATCAGATGACCGGCCAGAAAAGATCAGGAACAGGGATCTCTGGCGATGAGCGAACCAACCAGGAACCGATTGCGAAACAAATAGGTAGGAAGAAATGGAGATGGATTGGCTGGCCATACTCTGAGGAAACCATCAAGTGACATCACTAGACAAGCCATCGCTCGATTGGAACCCGACTGAAAGGGAAGCGGGTGGCGAGTTTGTCGTCAGTGCAAGGGTGACTTGGAGGAGGTCATGTGAAGAGGAGATGAAAGCATGTGGGCAGACTTGGAGCGGGGTGAAAAAGTTGGCAGAAAACCGAAGGCAATGGAGACGAGTGGCTGAAGCCCTATGTTCCTCAAGGAATTAAAGAATACAATAATAATATAATAATAAACCAAAAACAAAAAGTGGAGAAAAGACATGAATAAGAAAAAATCAGATAAACCACAAACCATAAGTATAACCTTTTTGTTACAACACGTGCAATCCAACTGCCAACTTACCAGTGTCGGTGTATTCTTTGTCACTGAGACAACAGCAGTATTACAGATAGCTAAGGCAAGAAAAAAGTCTTGAATACGTGTTTGATCCGTCAACACTGGATGATAAGATGAATGAGCCGGCTTATTATTATCATGATGTTGTGATTTTGAAGGATTTTTTCGTTGACCATGAACATTTCGGTGACTTGATCCACCAGTTTGATGTTGTTCAACTCGTTGATATGCTTTTTTTGGTGATAATAAATGATTTTTCATAAATAAACAAGCGTCTGCATCATTGCCATCGTTATGCATACAAGTGACAAAAGGTATGCCAGAGTTTGATTGTATCATCATGGATGTATTGTCATGGTTATGTAACATATTGTCAGACAGTATACTGTTATATGAATCGATAATAGCATTATTATTACCAGCGGCCGTAGTAGGGAGCGTATTAGTATTATGAATCATTTTCTGATGCATTGAAAATATTGTTTCATTTTCTAATAATGATTTAAGTGTGCTCAACTTTGTTGTTATAGGAATCTATAAATAATTGAAAATTGAACACAGAAAGAAGCAATTACACTTTGTGTGAATAAAAAGTCGAATTGTTTTAATTTGCCTTCACTTTCCTATTCTTCAGAAAAGAGCACTTAAAATGAATAGCCAAGTTTGAACAAGCGCTACATGCGGTTGAATAAACTGATAGAATTCAGCCTGCGCCAACACCAAGGACAGGACACATGGAATCAGTAACTAAGCATTGTCCATTCCTACAGGAGGTCGATTGTGAGCCGAATAGCTCGTTGGTTACGTCTCTGACTGCAGCGCTGGGTAACGCAAGTTCGAATCTCAGAACGGGAATGAGTCCTTTCAAGACTGCAGATACGCTTTACTGACTGGGTAAGTGTTGACTAGCACGAGACCTACACCCAAAGCTTCCTATCGATTACCTTTATCCATTTAATATCAACAATATTATTATTGTTATTTGATTACGTGAACATGGAGACGGAGTCTGGCGGTATAATTAGCGCCGTTGTTAGTGTCGTTGACCTACTCAATGAGAAAATAAAACAGTAACCTATACTTATTATTAAGCGATTGAAACTAAGTGATAGTTTTGAGTTTAAAAAAAGTTGAACACCTTGACGTGTATTTGAATTGTTTTAAACAGTAGCTTCAGTTGTATTAAGATGTATAACAGTGGTAATGCTTTAAAAAAATACACTGAACCATCAAGAGTAAAATGTATCAGTAGTTTCATACAATGATTCCCTCTTTATAAATTTGAACAAAGAAAATAGAAACATTGGCGCAGAATAATCTGGATCCATTTTATTTCGTCGGTTCTCATCAGCTGCGTACAACCTGGATTCTTTAATAAAATTAAAAAAGTGTACAATTTTAACCAACTTTTGTCCATTAGCAAGCCTATTGTCAGAGCGTTGTCACAATAAAATAAAGCGTGAGCAGAACTCAGAAGATTAATATTCAAGTGTTGGTTTGCAGGGATTTGATTGGTTTCAGGATTTCATCATGGGCTGACATTAGTTAGAGAACCATTGGAAAACCTGCCAGGGAGTACTGGACAGCTGTTTCATACGTCCCAGTTTGAGACTCTTCAGCAGTACGCACCCGCCGGGATTCGAACCCAGGACCTTCCGGTTACAAGGCGAGCTCTTATACCATTAGGCCACTGAGACCCGATCCAACGGTCCTTGAATTCTAACTTCTGCCAACTCACGACATAGCGTGACCGCTAGCCAATGTCTTCGGTGGCGAGTATTTGTCCTCACACCCGACCAGCTGCACCCTACTGGTCACGACTTCCCACCGGAACCCAGGGAACTACCTACCTGAATAGGGCCAGTCGCTAGTGAGCATCTCATTGGTATTCAAGTGTTGGTTTGCAGGGATTAAGATTAAGAAAAATTATCTCTTAAGAGAGTCAAGCGAAAAATATAGTGAGGAGGTGGAGTGAAAAGATAAGCTAACGAAATTAGAAAGCAAAGAGTTACTAAGAAATGAGTCACCAGGATAAGTGAAGTCCAACAACGGATTCTTTTTGGACACATAAGTCAGGCTTCAATCATTTTATTGCTATAGCTTCAGAAAACCCGAGAAGACTTGAGGTACTTTGTCTGTTAATTATTTTGAATGATTCCAGCACATCTACTCGGTGTCCAGTGTCAGTCAGGTGTTTGGTGAATGAAGAGCTTAAACATTTCGGTCCTTTTAACCGGAAGCTCTTTGGTACATGTTCGCAGTATCTGACGTAAGCTCTCCTCTCTGTTCTTCCAATGTAACTGCCCCCGCAGATACATGTGAATTGGTATACACAGTTGGAAGTAACATGTGAAGAGTACTTGTCAATCTTTGACTGCACCAGTGAAGAGGCTGTTCGGAGTACAGAGACTAATCATGCTGCAGAATACGTCCTAGACAGGCCTGCGTTTAATATTTTATTTACCATCCTCATAATGTCGTCGACCTTGTAGTCAAGTTTGATGAAAATACGGCTTCTTACTGACTGTAGCTGTACCAAGCTTCTTGTCTCACACCTCTGCTCACTGTTTCTATTATGCTTTTCTTGTACTTTCTTCTCTTGCTTCGCGTGCTACACGGAATGTGGCGACTTGAACTTCCGCACATTTGTGCAAAGTTCTATGTCGAAAACAGACAGACAGACAGAAGCTTCTTGAGTAAATTCTCGCCATATTTGTTAATGAAAGTTTCTGGGTAACCATTTTCTTCCCCGGCTCTTTTTAGGAAGCCTTAGTTCACTGTCTAGTTTGTGTATTACTATTATTATATCCTTTAATTCCTAGAGGAACATAGGGCTTCAGCCACTCGTCTCCATTGCCTTCGGTTTTTTGCCAACTTTTTCACCCCGCTCCAAGTCTGCCCACATGCTTTCATCTCCTCTTCACATGACCTCCTCCAAGTCACCCTTGCACTGACGACAAACTCGCCACCCGCTTCCCTTTCAGTCGGGTTCCACTCGAGCGATAGCTTGTCTAGTGATGTCACTTGATGGTTTCCTCAGAGTATGGCCAGCCAATCCATCTCCATTTCTTCCTACCTATTTGTTTCGCAATCGGTTCCTGGTTGGTTCGCTCATCGCCAGAGATCCCTGTTCCTGATCTTTTCTGGCCGGTCATCTGATCTTGAGTAGTGAGCGAAGACAACTGTTAATGAAGGTCTGAAGTTTGTTTGAGATGCTCTTTATGACGCGCAGTGCAAGTCTCTGATCCGTATAATGAGTAGCACTGACTGACTTCACATTGGAGTTGAAAATCCGGATCTTATTTTTGATGGTAAGTGCTGTTGATCTCCACACAGACTTGACAGAAATGAAAGCTTGCCTTTCTTTACTGATCTTAGTTTTGATTTTCTCATCAGTTCTATCCGCCTGTAGTTGAAACGATGACCTCTAGGTAGATAAAAGAGGTTGTTTCTTCCAGATTTCTCCCATTTATGCCGGCAGATTGTTGTCTGTTGTTGTTGTAGATGCTGTTGGCTAGGAATCTTCATCGCCTACCCCTGTTTTCTCTATATTCACCCGAAGTCCTATCTTCTCTGGTTGTTTCTTCTGACAACTTGTTGCTTTCACTTGTATATCATCCAGTTTGTGGGAAATCAGACATATATCACCATCGGAGAAGTCCAGATCCTCCAAGTTGATTTTGTGTGAGTCCATTTCATGCCTGTTTCCTCACTGCCCGCCGCTGTCTGTTACATTATCCAATCTACTGCAATCAGGAAGGTCATTGGTGATAGTAGACAGCCTTGCCTCACTCCCGTCCTCACTTCGAAGGATTTCGTAAGTTTCCCGTTGTGGATTACTTGACATGCAGCATTGTCGTATAACTGTTGGATGAGATGTATGATTGCTGGCGGAATCCCGTAGTAGCGAAGTAGTTGCCAAATCACCTCTCGATCGACGCTGTCGAAGGCCTTTTCAAAGTCAATGAAGTTGTGTGAGGTAGAGAGGTGACTGCGATTTTTGCAAGCTTTGCTCAATGATGATCCGTAGAGTGGCGATTTGATCAATACATGACTTGTTTCTCCTGAATCCAGCCTGTTCCGGTCGAAGTTTTTGATCCAGGGCTTGATTAATTCTCTCCAGTATGATGCGGCTTAGTATTTTGCTTCGGATGGACAGGAGCATAATTCCGAGCTAGATTTTGCATTGACTCTAGTCTGCTTTCTTTAGTAGTTTGAATAAGTATCCTTTCTTCAAATCATCGGGTACTTTGCCCTCTTTTCACACCTTCTCCAGCAGTGACGTCATCAAGTCCGCTGTTGTCTTTGGGTCCATTTTCAATACTTCTGCTGGGATTCCGTCTGATCCTGCTGCTTTTCCAGCTTTTAGCATCTTGATTGCCTTCAGGACTTCGGATTTCGTCGGGGGATTGATGTTCACTGGTAGTTCTGCCTCCGTTGTTGGTATTGTTGGGTGCGTTGTAGGTGGTGGTCGATTTATAAGTCTTTTTAAGTGTTTAGCCCGGTGTTTTCTCTGCTCCACTTCTTTGGTGACTGACTTAATTTGTGTCGAACGTTTGCGCGATAGGTGCCTAGTTGTTTGGTAGAGTGTTGCGAGGTCAAGGAACGGAATATGATAGAATATTTTGATTTGACACTAATAACTAGTGTGACGTGTCCAGTCCTGTCTTTGGTGCAGACTGAATTCTATTAGTCAGGTTTTCAATATGGCCACCATGATGGTGCATATTGATTTGATGATATTAGACAGATGGAGGTAATCCGCAGAAAGCCTTGCTTGTCCTAGGTTTCATGCTACAGTCCTACATAAGGTCAATCGCCAACCCGAATAGCTGAGTGGTAGTGTCTCTGACTGCAACATTGGGTGACGCGGGTTCGAATCTTTTCGGAAGGGACATGAGTTCCTTCAAGGTGGTTGCAGATACGCCTTGCTGATGAGTGCCAACTAGCATGAAACCTAGTTCTAGACAAGGCTTCCTGTGGCCAATTGCCCCCCCCCCCAACTATGTAATATGATAGAATAACTAGGATTAAATAACAATTTACAAGCGCAGTTCCGTGTGAATACCAACTGTCTCTCTCAATGACTGGACAAAAACCCTGATCAACTAGCTTCATAACTTATGTGAAAAGTCACCTAGAAAGCGATACTATGATGAGTTTCACATATGTATGTTTTGTTGTACGTGAAGATAATTTAAATATTCCCTTAATGATAGTTATAGATGACGATTTAAGTAAATACGTATTTTTGGGAAATTCTCATCCAGCTTTTTATACTTTTATATATATGTCCAAATCAAGTAAACTTTTAACAGTTTTAAAAAATTTAGGCATATGTGATATTCAATGTAATAAAGGTGTTCGTAATCCCTAATGAATGAAAAACAGAACGATATTGTCGCTTTTACTGACGATTCGCCACTTAGTACTGCTGCTGCTAACAGCTTTATCATAGTATTATTAAACCAGAATTTACAAAGTCTCAGCTTAAATATAACAACTTAATCATCATTCCTCAGCATGGGGTCATTTTTGCGTTGTCAAATTGACCACTTGTTAAAGATAATAAAACCAAGTGTAGATTGTTGGATTTGATAAGTGTGTAAAATTATGAAGCAGTGTGTGTCTACACAATGAAACTGCTTATAACATTTGAGTTTATTTTGTCATTTCATGGGGGGGTGATGGTCAAATTCTGTTATAGTCCATCATTCGCACTCAGACAATTTGGATTCCATTTGATATGAAGTGCTTCTGATTGATATTAGGCGTTCTTTGTGAGTTTTAAAATTTTTCTGGATTATTTCAATATTGTCAGAATCAATTTTGTGGCCTGATTCTATAGCGTCTAGACAGATCTATAGCCGGATTTCTCAGCGGTTGAACATATGCTCTACTGTGTTCATTTCTTCTGATTTTGATTTCTCGTGATGTTCGTCCGATGTACATCGTATCACATTCCAAACATTTTATTATATAGACACAAATAGATAGAGAATCTTTAGAGATTTGGTCTTTTATATAGACAGGGTTGTTTCGCGGTGTGTCTGATGTTTTGAAGACAACTCTGATGTCGATCTTATTGAGTACTCTTCTGATATCGTCTGATGTCTCCACTCTATATGGAATGAAAACTTTTGAGATCCATGTTTTTGGAATACGTTTTTAACCATACTTAATGTCTGTGTTTTGATTTTGTTGATGAAGTTCCTTGGGTAGTTGTTTTGCTTGACGGGAGTTTCAGTAATGTCTGATATTTCTTCGTCTTTTTCTTGCTCATCCGTTATCAGAGAGTGTGCTCGTCTAAGGAGACTTGAAACAACTGATACCCAGTGTACTCCCTACCTGAATAGAGCCAGTCACTAGTGGACATCAGATCGATCAATTCGCAATATTTAGTACCACCTCCAGGCAAATATCATTGTTGAGCATTCGTCCTCACCCCAGACCCCACCAGTCGCAACTTCTCACCCTCCCCCTGTTTTCACTGGCTTTCTAAATGGTTTTAATCTGTGATCAAAATAGGAATCAATCGAATCCCTATAAACGCACACTCCTGGATATCAGATCAAATAATCTTTAAATAGTGAAAATAAATTCCATTATCAGTTGTAACTGTTCGACTTTGAAACAAATAACCAGTAGACAAGTAAAATATCACGAGAAGTCGAGCCAGTGGATATCAGTTTCACTATTCACAGTCATTAGGTCCATGATTCTTTATTTGTACATCAGCAGAATACCACAAATACGATTCAGTGTCATATATGAGTCTTTAGATCCAATCTTATGCATCCAAACAAACTCCATGTCCTTATGTGGGACACGAATGGGAAACGACGAGTTGACTGTCCGACAGTGACATGCAGGAAATCATGTGATGAGGAAATAAACACCCGTGGATAGTTATGATGCCAGCTTAAAAGGACAGTATACAACAGAATGAAATCGAGATATGTTGATGAAGCTTTGTGTTCGACTAGGAACCCGGTGAAAGAACAACAATAATGCAATAACGACTGAAAATTCTGTTTTCAAATCCTTCACGTTCTCAGTAGAACATAGGGCTTCAAGCTAGAGACTTGAGGTTTCGGTGGCAGTGGTGTTTATTTTCTGCTGGATAGTATTGCTAGCCTCATGCCCAACCTTCCTTCTTTACCAATCTTATTACTGGTTTGGCAAGGTAAAGCAGTGGGTCAGTGGCGTCCGGGGATCGAATCCCGGACCAAGTAAGGCGTAGTTGGGGAGCATTCTACCAATCAAAAGTTTATCTCGAACAATCATAGATATGGTCTAAATTCGAAAAGAAAGAATAACGTTTCTCACGTACACACACAATTTGATGAATGTGCTAAAAACAAACAGAGCAAGAGTTCATAAATTGACTAAACTTGGCATTATGTAATAACTTACTGATGATGATGAAGAAGAGGAATGATTGCTTAATTGATCTGTATTTTCATGAGTGTCATCTGTAATGTGAACAGTTAAATGAAAAAGCGAAACTATATCATTTTTAAAGAATAAAATGTATAAACAGTCAACAGCTAAAACAACAAATGCTACTAGTAAATAAACTGACAAATACAGAAAGACAGAGACAAGTGATCAGCAAGATTATTAACTGTCAATCAACTTTAACTGCATAGCGAGTCATAATGCTTTAAACACACTCACATACACACATATAAATGTGCGTAAACAACGAACATTCTCTATGTGATGATGATGTTAATGCACTTAATCAGCCTTTTATACGCTTTCCTTCTACTATAACCACTTCTAACGTTACTAATCATGTAGCTGACAACTTCCAGGATTTTAACACTCTCGATGTTTTAAAATGTCTTAAAACTCTTAAGCCCTAATGTAGCCTTGGCCCTGACGGTATACCTGCATATGTTATAAAACAAAGTGCAGATGCTTTAAGTTCTCCTCTAACTAACATCCTAAATACTTCTTTCTCCGAAAACGTTGTACCTGTTACATGGAAAGACATTAAAATAGTTCCTGTTCCTAAACCTGGAAATAGCAAGAACGTAAAGTTCAAAGCCATTTCCATCACTTCCCCGTTTCCAAAGCTTATGGAAAAACTAGTTACTTCTTAAACTCGAACCATCCCTTAAAAGCTTTGAAGACCCCAAACAATTTGCCTATAGACAGGGAAGGAGCACTTTAGACACAGCAGCCGTCTTACACAACAGTATCGTCTCATCATTAAATAAATAAATAAATAAATTTTTGCTTTATTCCAAAAACTACTAATGATACAGCAAGGAATTTTCAGCATTCAGTACAATATTGCATCTAATTTACCAAAAACGACAAAAAAAAAAAAAATTAAAAATACATATTACATAAAGTAATAAAACGATTGTTATAGCAGCTACGTAGCAAAATACTGTATGCCATACGGAGAAAAATATATATAAAGTACAAAATTGTAGTAATAATAGTAATACCAACTAAAATAAAATAGCAGAGTAACGATTTAAACGATAGAAAGTGTGACACCATAAAATACAGAAAGATGAACGATAAAAGGGTCGATTCACTGTGCTAATTACATAGTAACTTGTAAGTTTCACGTCTAACAGAGTCTTCGTCACATAAAGTACGCGCTAAATAGGGTATTGTAGAATTTCTATACTTAGTGGTACGAGCATATATCTTTTTATATTGACTTCTCGTCCTACCTGATGAGATACAAGGGGACAGGTGTGAATAAAGGGGGTGCAGAGGGTCTGACATTATAGCCTTTGCCCATTTCGTACAGGAATTTATATGCCTCTCGACTATAGTATTAGCGAGCTCATGCAGTGGCAGACCACAAGCTCTACTCACAGCATTTAATACTCTTCGTAATATGATATAATCTTTTTTGAGAAGCCCAGGAAAGATTAATGGAGAGCAATAGAGTACAATAGGTAAAATACAGGAGTTTAAAAATTGCAAAACTAAAGGTTGGTTGATACCTGATTGTCTTAACTTTTTAATGTAGAAGGTAAGACGAAACATTTTCTTAGAGATAGATAAGATATGGGATGACCATGAAAGGTCAGAGGAAAAACTAATCCAAGGTATTTAATGCTTGATTTGGTTTCAATTTCCGTGCCATCTATGCTACAGGGATCATGCGAGTTAACTAGTTCAAGTAAGTCACGTCGATGCTTGAAAGTAAAGTCAAGCCTGACATTTGGAAGGATTTAATATAAGACCATTTGACTTGGACCAGTTGTTGATGTCCAACAGAAAGCTATTAAGTTTGGAGCTGTCAGACTCGGAAGTGATAGGCAGTGATACAGTCAGATCATCTGCATATTTGACAAAGTTAGTTTCGTTTGAATGAGGTAGGTCATGTAGGAAGAAAGAAAAAAGAAAAGGAGAGAGGACAGCACCTTGTGGAACACCGGATTTTGTAAGCGAGGTAGAAGAAGATTTGCCGTTATATACAGTATACTGCATTCTATCAGAAAAATAGGAATGCAACCAACTCTTAGCCCAGGATCCTGTTTGTGTCAACGATAGCTTATTTAAAAAGGCCCCTAGGTACAGAGTCAAAAGCAGATGTGTAGTCTAAGAAAGCACTACGAACATATTTAGCACCTTTGTCTAAACAAGAGACAACATTGTGATATAAGACAACCGCAGCATCCAAGGTACTTCTACCATGTTTGTATGCAAATTGTTTAGGATCATTAAAAGGTTTCAAAGCGGGTTCAAGACGAAGTAAAAGTAATTTTTCCATCAATTTTAAAAAGGGGGAAGTAATTGCAATAGGCCGAAATTTAATATCAGAACCAGAAGATGGTTTTGGTATAGGGATAATTTTAATGTTTTTCCATGCAAAAGGTAGAACGTTACCGGAAAAAGAAGCATTAAAAATGTTAGTAAGAGGATAACACAAAATATCAGCACAATTCCTGAGGACAATGGCAGGTATGCCGTCAGGACCAAGGCTTTGAGAAGGCTTAAGAGACCGGAGACATTTAAGCACATCAAGGGTATTAAAACCACTAAAGTTATTGTCAATATGATTTGTATCATTTGGAAGGGTATCAACAGAAGAGCGTATGAAAGATTTATTAAGAGTGTCAACATTAAGAGATGGAACAGAAATACATCGCTTACCGTTAGTAATTTCTTTGAAAAGTTTCCATAAATTAGAAGGGGTTTTACATGACAAAAATCTTTGATTATATAAAACATTTAGTCTTTTTATTTCCAGTTTTATCAGAATGTTTAACTTTTTTACACCAGGCTTATCATTAGTTTTGAACAACAGTTCTTTATTTCTACGTAGCTTTTTGAGATATGGCGAAGATAAGCGATCAAATCGAATGAATAATGTTTCTTTAGGACAACATATTTCGAAACAGAATTTAAGATAATCGTAGTGTTTGTGATTGTTTCATCTAATGTTTGTTCTGTAAATAAGTCCCAGTTAGTGTCTTTCAACATGCATCTGAGCTTGTCTAGGTTGTCTTTTGAGTAGCATCTCCGTTGAACTTTACTGTAGAGGTGAGAGAGGACACCTTTGTGTGATTTGGAATATATTTTAGGCAGTACACGTATGATGCAGTGGTCAGAATTAAGTAAGGAGCACGTTTGCGAGCTTCATATATACCAACATCATTGATAAATACTAGATCCAGTTTTTTACCAAGACGGGTGGCAAAGTTAACAATATTGTCATGACCAAGTGATATAAGGAAGGAGCAATCGCTTCCATTGAAGTCGCCAGTTACTATTGATAAAGAGTTCTCGAAGCAAGCTGCAGCAAAAGCGGTGAATTCATCAGCGAACATAGATAAATCCAATATGGTACAGCCAGGAGAGACATAAACATTAGAAATATAAATAAAGGTGCCAAATACGTCCGCTGCACGTTTCTCGACTTCACTTCTGCTTTCGATTCTGTACCTAGATGTCTTATGCTAAATAAGCTCTCCATGACACAAACTGAGTCCTGGGTCACTAACTGGTTGCATTCCTACTTCTCTAACAGAATGCAGTACACTGTATACAAAGGCAAATCCTCCTCTGCTGTGCTCACTGAAGCTGGTGTCCCCCAAGATGCTGTACTCTCCCCACTTCTCTTTTCTTTCTTTCTACATGACCTACCATCTTCAAATGACATGAATTTTGTCAAATATGCTAATGACCTGACTGTATCTTTGCCTGTCAAATGTCAAAGTGACTCCTGAAAACTAAATGTCTTTTTATCAGAAATCAGCCAGTGGTCCAAGGAAAACGGTCTTACCTTAAATCCCTCCGAGTGCTAAACAGTCAATTTCACCTTTAGGCATAAACCTAACCTAAACAAACTGGTTATCACTCACGAGGTGTGCAACATAGATGGCACTGATATAGAAACCAAGTCAGAAATTAAATACCTAGGCGTCATTCTGTCTGCTGATCTTTCCTGGTCGTCTCATATCTTGATGATTTCTAAGAAAATATTCCCTCTTACCTTCTACATCAAGAAGTTAAGACATTCTCGAATAACCCAACCCTTACTCCTACAATTCGTTAACTCTCGCATTCTGCCTATTATTCTCTATTGTTTCCCCTTAGTTTTTCCAGGCCTACTGGAGAAAAACTATAACTTATTACGCAGGATGTTAAAAGTTGTCAACAGGGTACGCAACGTGCCACTTAACCAGCTTGTTAATATTCTGGTCGACAGGTACTTGGACTCATGTGAAAAATGGGCTAAATCCATTTTATCTAACTCACACTACCCTCTTCATTTACAACTCTCCCCTTGTATCTCATCGGACAAAACCAGAAGCCTATATAAAAAACTAAATGCTCGCACTAGCAAGTACAAAAACTCAATCATACCCTAGTTAGCTCGTGTTCTGTGCGACAAAGAAAGCATTAGGCGTGATACCTACAACTTATTAAATAGTCAGTAGAACAATAAATAGACCTCATCTCTCTAACTCATATCATTTATAGGCACGTTTTATTGGTTTCTTTTCCTTTATCTCCCTCTTTTTTTCAATGTTATGTGCAGCTTTGTTTCTTTCTTCTGCTTACGCCAATAAATATGCAAGCATCTACTTTTTTAACACCCTCAAACACTCTGTTCAATTTTGGCTTTGCCAAAGACATGCTAATAAGTTATTGTCATAATCAACTGAGATTTTCCTAATCTATGTAGAATTTTATTTAACTGATAATGTACTAACTGGATACAATAGTGTAGTAAAAGCTTATTAATTATTACATGAGTGCTACAGTCATCAAGTGAATGAAATATATACACAGTTAATTAAGTTTTTAACCGAAAATTGTGAAGATCAAGCCTGTTGGTGTAAGTAATCAACTTTCAGCTAGTCTATCTCGGCTTCGAATCTCGCTCTGCTTATTTCAGCTTAAGCAAATACGTACAATTAATTATCAGCCCTCACATTGCCTGACACTTAATTCCACTAACTAATTAATTAATTAATTAAATAATTAACTGACATTCCACACTTAACTGAAGGATATTCTTCATGATGACTTGTATTGATAATTTCAAACAAAAAGATGTTCAAGATGGTGAGAAGTGTAAATTCGCCTTTATAGACATTACTCAAAATAAACAAGTTACTAATTTATCTCAGGAATGTTCCCCAAATGAAAATGCCTATTTTAGGAGACGACGCAAGGTAGATTTCAAATTCGCACGTAAGTCATTCTTTTATTTTTATAAATTCGCCTGGATCCCCAATTGAACGTAAGGCTTCAGAAGCACATCAATATTTCAAACAGATCTCTCGTCAGTTTCTTTTTTAGGTGCCTGCCTGATTGTCCGTAAGCTACCATTTGCTTGTCGTACAATTTTCTCCATGTAATCCTTGAACATCAAACTTTAACGTTTCCTATTCAGAATTCCCCGATCATTTGTCTGGAGAGTGACGACACTCAACAGTATCCCACTGAGTATGTCTTTCTGCGTGTTTGTTTAGCTGTAGGCTGTTGTTCGGTAGATTGCCAGAGGTCTTGGTTGCTTAACCTTTTTAGCTGGCCATGTTTTCTTCAGTAAGAATGAAGAGAAGGCAGTTATTGATAGGAATTCGCAGCAGGCTGTGAGAAATGCTCTTCTTAATTTCGTCCTTTATACTGAACGCAGAACATTTCCACCGATAGTTCAATCCTGGGTGCCTTTCACATCCTCATCCGCGCTGACTATAGTTGAAACGACGCTGCATAATTAACTGAAACAAGTGACTTCCATCAAATTTCTCCCGGTGATAGTGGTTGATGCGTGTTGTTGTTGTTGATGGTCGGGTATCTTCACAAAACCTATCTTCTCTATGATTACTTGAAGTCCAGTATTCGCTGCTACTTCTGCTAACTTGTAGGTTTTCTCCTGCAGATATCTTCGAGTTTATGAGATACTCCACATAAATTTTCAAGTATTGGTTTTGTAGGGATTTCGCTTGATTGCATGGAAGATTTCTTCATGAGCTGACATGAATTAGATAACCACTGGAAAACCTGGGAGTACTGATGAAGAGTCCCAAGCTAGACTGACGAAACAGCTATCCAGTACTCCCAGGTTTTCCAGTGGTTCTCTAAATGATATCAGCCCATGATGAAATTTTCCATGCAATACTATACATAAACCATGTGCTAAGCCAAGGTCGTTTAAAGTACTTCAGACACAATTCTCTTGATAGCGTAACATAAAGAAGAAACTTTATTAGTATTCAAGTGTTGGTTTGTAGGGATTCGACTGGTCACAGGATTTTCATCATCAGCTGACATTAGTTAGAGAAGCATTGGAAAACCTGCGAGTATTGAACAGCTGTTTCATCCATTGGATCGGATTCCCGTGGCTTAATGGTATACGAGCTCGCTAGCCTTGTAACCAGAAGGTCCTGGGTTCGAATCCCGGTAGGTGCGTACTGATGAAGAGTCCCAAACTAGGACGAAACAGCTGTCCAGTACTCTCAGGTTTTCCAATGGTTCTTTAACTAATGACAGCTCATGATGAAAATCCAGTAAACTTTGTTAGGATTGTACACCAACATACTACTTACTATAGTCTTAATAAGTAGTTAAAACTATCAAGAAAGAAAATCACTAGTCAAATAGGAAAGACATTGACATTACTCACCTTCATTTGCATCAAAATCTTTCCCATTAATACTGGCCCGTTTAAATTCCATTTTATTTTCAGTCAGTGTACCAGTTTTATCTGAGAAGACATATTCAATTTGACCTAAATCTTCAGGTATATTGAATGCGCGTATTTCAATTCGTCTGTCTAATTTAGCATCATATAATTCTAAATCATTATTCATATGCCAAACTTGATGCATTTTAACAAATTCTATTGTTACATATAACGGTAATGGTATAATAGTCTATAAAGTAAAACCACAGAACAAAACAAGTTGTTTCACACAAATGTTATCTAGTATACACATAATTTAATTGATTCAGTAGGCGGGCAAACTAAATTCAACTGAACATTGAAAACTTTCCACAAAAGTGTAGCCAATCAAGAAAAAAAAGACGTTGGAAGAAACATTGATAAATAGAAATATGCAGGAATCAGGAGTAATTTTAAGAAACATGGTGAGGATTTAATCGATCTAGTAGATAACAAAGTGCAAGAGTGATATGGAGAAGATCGTTTGGCGAGGAGCAGATGAGAGATTATTGGCAATCTTCGACGTAGCTGAAGCGGATGACAGAAAATAGAAGAAGGTGGAGATGTGTTGCTGAAGTCCTATGTTCCATTTGGAACCCAAGGGAATAACAATAACAAGAATTGAATTCCTAACATTCAGTATCTAACATTCTCGTCTCACTACATAGTGTGGCTGGGTGGAGGAGAGAGTGAATAATTACAGCACCTTATGATGTTGGTGATAAAAAATAGTTGTGGTACGTAAATATATAAAACAATCAAGAATTATTAGGAATTATGAAAACAAAAAATCAGGGAGATAGGAAACATGAAAAGAGCAATTTACTAAACAGTTTTGAAATTTAGTAATTCCATGCCAAAAACCATTTTTTTTATTGCTGTAGTTGTTTGTGCTCTCTGAGCTTGATGGTTTAGTTGCGAAGTTTTCATTGCCCTACTAGGCAACATCTACGACGCATACTTCAATTTGAAGTATTTGATGTACATCGGAATCATCCAACCTGAGCTAGAAATCTTCTCCAACATATCTAAAATTTTCATTACATATAAACATACTGAATAAGGTATCTCTGAGTAATTATAACTGGCTATGAGAGCGTAATATCTACAGGGAAAGATGAGAACAAATTTATGGTTTATTATTCTGCCAGTTGAACACTAATCAAGCGTTATACTGCAGTATAAGAACAATTAACTCAATGATCACATTGTTCACTTGATTGATCGGCTGTATGCAACACAGTAGAAATTAAGCCAGCAAGCGAACTGGTTTCAACCAAGCAACCTATTCACATGTATAATCCGAGTAACATATAACGCAATTATTCATTCGGGTCCCAAGTGGAACTTATGGCTTCAGCAACAACACATCTCCACTTTGTTCTAATTTTTCCTGTCCTCTTCAGCTGTCTATCTGTTTTTAACATAAAAATTTGAATCCATGTGCAGCATTTCAATTCGCCACACTCCACTCCTTGTAGCACACAAAGCAAGAGAAGAAAGTATAAGAAATGCAAAACAGAGACAGTAGACAGGAATATGGGACAAAAGGAATAGAAATAAGGAAGAACAATATGGTTTTAGCTAACTGTTGTGGATTTCATTGACTGGTAAAGCTATGTTTTGGTTTTACCGCCGCTAGCTCTTTTCCAACCTGACCCTATTTCAGCTAACATTGCCCATTGTCGAGGAAGGCGATGACTAGACATACGTAACACATATTCTTACCATCTCAGTGGATGAAGCTTCACAGCCTCATCGGTTGATTTTCCCTCTTTACTTAGCACTTGACACCTATCCTCAACATTGTTCACCATATTATACCAATTCACAAGGGAGATAGAATGCAGGCACCTATGATCAAAGACAGCTAACCTTTTCGTACCCTTCACTCCCAAATGGCCAGTTCTCACAGCCATTAAGGAGGATGGAGCGGACTGATGAGCAGTACACCCGCCCTTTAGTCGATAGTCGGATATCTCGTCTACGCCAGAGACGGCGTAAACTGGCATATGCGAAATGAGCCCTCTGTATCCGCGCTGAGATTTCGTCAGTGATCAACCCGTTGGCACTGGCTGATGGTACTTCCCAAATAAGTGGAGCGGTCAACGTGCTCTACCACTTCACTCCTAATTTTAAGCTAGAAGTGGATGTAGTCCAGTCTTGTAGCATCATCTTACATTTACCTCTTCAGCTGGACGTATGACTGCTCATAATCTCTAATCTCTCCTCCTCGGCACACGATCTCCTCCATATCACCCTCCCATTGACAACCCAATCACAGTTTTCCATTCAGGTACCTTTCGAACGATGGCTTGCACTCCGCGCAATATCATTCAACTAGCTCCTCAAATTATACCTGATCCATATCCATTTTCTTCTACATACTTCTTGAGTGATAGTTTCCTGGTTAGTTCATTCCCATAGTTTCGTGTTGCTAATTCTTTCTGGTCGGCTATCTGATCTTCTTTATGGCCCTATCGAAGTCAGCTGTTGACAAAAGTCTGCAGTGGCCTGTTGAAAATGCATTTCGTGACACTCTGGTCAAGTTTTTAACCAATAGAGAAGAACATACTGACCTAAGATTGGTGTTGAAAATCTGCATCTTGTTCTTTATGCTCGCTGTGCGCAGTATAGATTTCCAGACTGATTTCAACAGTGATGAAGTTTTACCTTACCTTTCCAATTCTGGTTTTCACATCCTTATCCGCCTCCGACTGCCTTTGCTTGAAATGATGCTTCCCTAGATAAGTGAAGGAAGTGACTTCTGTCGAATCTCTGCCGTTTATGGTGACTGGTGCTGGTGGCTTGGTTAACTTCATCACCTTCGTATTCTCTATGTTCACCTGGAGTCCTTTAATCACTCCTCACTTCTTCTTCTACCAGTTTGTTGGTTTCCGTCTGTAAATTTTCGAATTTATATAACATTAGACATCAATCGTTCGTGAAATCCAGGTCTTCTCGAGACCCTTTAACGATCCAGCATATTCCTGGCTTCTGACTCTCACGCACAGTCTGAAGCATAATCCAGTCGACTACAATTAAAATTACCATCAATGATAATAGGCAGCCTTGTCTCACTCCTGTCTTCACCTAAAAAGCTTCACTAAATTTTCAGTTATGAATCCACCTGGCACATGCCACTGCTATATACCTGTCGAATGAGTGATTGTACAAAAAGGAACCACGATGGCCTAAATGTCTTTTTAGTCCGAGTCTCTTACATTAAAATTGAGTGTTGTCATAACATCAAAAAATACTCCAAGAATATCGGCATCTTGAAGATGACAGATACAATCTTCCGATGAGTTGTAACAAGGCTTCTATTGTGATAGGATTTCTTCTGTAATCTTCATATCACCTTTCTATAAACTGTTCTAAAGGAAGGTTATTTATTTTCACGTAACTTGTAACACAATTACACCATCGATGGGAAGACAAAGAAACACACAGAGAGAGAGAGAGAGACAGGAAACACATCAACTCACTTGAAAGATAATAATAAATCTCCAAAAATTTATAAATCCTTGAAATCCAGGTGTTGAAGTTGAAGAATTTCTATCGAGTGCATCAAATAGTACATCATCACCAGGTAAATTTTGATGCCAAACAGCACTGCCTATATATATTTAAAAAATTACGAGAAAGGCAATCGAAACAGCATAGTAAAATGATATAATATTTTATGTAATGATGAATTTCCCTCATTTATTGATTTCTAATAAAATTTAAAAATGTTATGGAGAAAAACAAAACTTCTGTAATTTAATTAAATAAAACAACCTGTTTTTAAACTTTATCAACTCATCGGCAGAATCAGTTTATAGTATGTAGAATGTCTCAAAGTAAAGATTAATACTGTACAAACACTCAGTTGTTTAGAGCCTGAACCGTGAAAATCCTCTGATCTTTTCTGATCTTTCTCCAATCATGTTAGTGTCTAGAATGGCATTTCGTTTAACATTCTAATGTTAGGATGTTAAGATTAGTCTGGTATCACTCAGCCCCTACTTTTACAATTTGATAATCTTTGTATTCAACCTATTCTGCGTTATTGTTCCCAATGAATCCCACTTTTCTGGGCTACTTAAGAAAGACTTTGTTATACTGCGAAGGGCAATAAAAACTGTCAGTAGGGCGAGGGGTTGTCGCTAAACCAACTTGTTGATACTTTTGTAGATAGAAACATGGAATCATGCAAGAAATTAGCGAATACTATACTTTCAGACCTTCAGCATCTTCTCTAATTACAACTGTCCCTTTGTATCCCATCAAGCAGAACTATAAGAAACTATAGGAGACTATATGGCAGGACAAGTAAGTACAAAACCACTACCATAACCTATTTGGTACATAATTTATGTTATGAGGAAAGCGTAAGGCAGAACATTACCCACTTACTGAGAAACACTAAGTAAGTGGCCCTTTTTATTATTTCATTCATGATTATACTGTCGTTAATATTTTCATTTAATCTAATTTTATATTCATATTCATACTGAAGAGATGTGAATGGTCTGTTTTATTATTACCATTATATTCTTATTGACTCTTTTAGTTCCTAGATGAACACAAGCCTTTAGCCGCACGTCTCCATTGCATTTGATTCTCTGCCGAAACTTTTACCTGGCTCCACGTCTGTCCAAATGCTTTCATCTCCTCCCCAAGTGACCTCCTTTATGTCAACCTCGCACTGACAACCAACTAGCCGCTTCGCATTAGGGAGAAATGAAAGCTTGCCTTGCTTTCTCGATCCTCGCCTGGATAACCTCATCAATTCCGCCGAAATACGGTGTGGTATCAAGCTGCAATCAAAATGCAATGAATAAAATAAACTTGTTGCTTTTCACTTGTATATCTTCCAGTTTGTGGAAAATCAGACATATAACACCATCGGCGAAGTTCAGATCCTCCAAGTATTTTGTGTGTGTGGGTCCATTTTATGCCTGTTTTGTTGTTGCCCGCTGTCTGTCACATTATCCAGTTTACCACATTCAGGAAAATCATTGGAGATAGCAGGCAGCCAGCCAGTTTGTCTTACTCCGGTCTTCACTTCTAAAGATTCTGTGAGTTCCTCATCGTGAATAACTTGGCATGCAGCGTTGTCGTATAACTGTTGGATGAAATGTATGATTGCTGGCGGAATCCCGCAGTAGCGAAGCAGTTGCCAAAACACCTCTCGATCGACGCTGTCGAAGGTCTTTTCAAAGTTGATGAAGTTGAGGTAGAGAGGTGACTGCCATTCCAAACTCTGTCCAATGATGATACTTAGTGTTGCGATTCCCTCGACACATGACTTGTTTCTCCTGAATCCTGCCTGTTCCGGTCAAAGATTTTCATCCAGGGAGGTGTGCTTGATTCTCTCCAGGATGATGCGGCTTAGTATTTTGCTTGGGATGGACAGGAGAATAATAACGCCGCAGTTTTTTCACTGACTTAAGACTCCTTTCTTTGAACAGTTTGAATAAGTAGTCTTTCCTCCAATTCGCAGGTACCTTGCCTTCTTTCTACACCTCCTCCAGTAGTGGCGTCATCAAGTCCGCTGTTGTCTCTGGGTCCATTTTCAATGGTTTTGCTGGGATTCCCTGGCGTCCTGCTGCTTTTCCAGATTTTGGCATCTTTATGACCTTCAGAATTTCTGTTTCCGTCGGAGGGTTGATGTCCCCTGTTAGTTTTGCTTCCACTGTTGGTGTTATTGAGCGCGTTGTAGGTGGCTGTAGATTTAGAAGTCTTTTCAAGTGTTCAGCTCAGTGTTTCCTTTGATCCACTTCTTTGGTGATTGACATGGTGATTATCATCCTTCACTGCCTTGGTTTGCGTTGATCTCTTCCCCGACAGGAACCTAGTTGTTCAGTGGACTGTTATGGGGTCTCTTTTGCCTGCAGCTTGTTCTCCTCAACTCGCATAGCTTCATAATATCGTCTTTTGTCTTCCCTGGCACTTTTATTTACTCTTTGGTTCAGTGCATTGTAGCTTGCATTCAACTCCTGTATTTGTTGCTCGTCGATGCACTTGATAATCCTTTATTTCACCGTCCTTCCGTAGTGAGCCTTCGTTTGCCCCGCCTCTTCTCTCTGCCTAGAAATTCCATGCACGTTTGACTCCACACCGCTTTTAGGCTGTTCAAGTGATTTCCAAAGATGGTCTATTCGCTAGTGTTGATTTGTGTCTCCACCTTTTCCCTGATGATTTCAGTGAGGATATCCTTTGTATCCTGGTCCTACAGTTCTTGAGTATTGAACTTGGCTTGTAGTCTGTCTGTAGCTCCTGTTTCTTTGAAAGTTTTCCATTTGATTTGGAGTGTTCCTTGTACGAGATAGTGGTCTGAGCCGACGTCTGCTCCTCTTCTTATTTTTGTATCCAGTAAGCTGCGTCTCCACTTCCTTGAGATTGAGATGAAGTCAATTATTACAATAGTAATGACATAATTAGATGCATTATTGTACTAAAATACTGTTTGGAATAAAGCAGTTATTACTACTATTAGTCACCTGGAATAGAATTTTCAGGTGCCTCAGATGAAGTTAGTCATGTTGGATTCGAACTCAGGGGTCATCAGCTCAAACCTGAGTTGCTTAAGCCAATGAACTATGTCTGCACGCACCCAACCCAAGCCTTACTCTTACAATTTGTTAACTCTCGCATTCTGCCTATTATTCTCTATTGTTCCCCCTTAGTTTTTCCAGGGCTATTGGAGAAAGACTATAACTTATTACGCAGGATGTTAAAGGTTGTCAGCGGGGTAAGCAACGTGCCACCTAACCAGCTTGTTAATATACTGATTGATAGGCACTTGGACTCATGTGAAAAATGAGGTTGATTACTATCCTGAAGATACATTCATACTGTATCCTGGCTGTAACATTACTTTTTTAAACTACTTCTTCTGTTTTCCTTACATCTTCTTGTAGTTACTCATATGAACATGGATTATGTTACCCCTAGTTCTTCGTCTATTTAATTTCTTCAGACTTCTTCCACCTGATGAACGCACATAGACACATACTTACATACAAAATATAGCAATTTAGACAAGGATAGATAGATAGATCTATAGCAGAAAATATGAAATTTTACAAGCTTTTCTCACCGATAGCTCCAGTGACACAAACGACAATCAAGATGATTACACACCATACCACATCCATATTAATTCTTTTCTCCAGTTTACTTCGCTTGAAACGAACACCAGAATTGTTTAAAGCAGCTTTTGTCTCTCGTCCTTTTAAACAAAACAACAACAAAAAAATAACTGATACCAACATTACAAGGAAACTATTGAAAATTGAATGCACTATAAACATTGAAAATCGAATGGTACAGTTAACCAAGAAACTATTCATTAGAGTTTCGAACGGCTACTGACTTGAACGCATCTTTTGAGTAGGAACACTACCAGTCATTGGCATGAAAATACACCCTATCAACTGATAAATTCTAAAGAGGAGGAAATGACAATCCTGGATTTTATTTTAAGAAGTTCAGCTACCAAATTGTGGATTCTGGAATACATTACTGTTTCTTTGTACAGACTAATATAGAGTCGGGTCATAAACTGAACCCCTTTCGACACATATAATGAAGAGAAATCAATATGAATACGTAATTTATCTGAATTGTGTCACTGAACCGAAGCAACAATCTCATCACCCAAACGTAATTGTCACAGGAATATATTTGAAAAAAAAGCTAAGAATTAAGAAGTCGGGAAGCAAACAGAAAGCAAATTAAAAGGTTAAACTGAAGGCCAAAATAACGATTAAATATCGGTTGAGCATAAAAACAATATAGCGATGAATGATAAAGTTAAACTTTTAGGACCAGAAGATATCAAAGAACAAATAACATCATTGAACGCACCAACCAAATTATAAAGGTAATGTTCGCGCATAAAATACATATATTCATGGAAATAATAATAATTAGCTTTATTTCAAAACAGTACTTGTGATACACAATGGAATTCTCAGCATTTTACCTCAGTATTGCATCCAGTTAGTACATTAACCATAAATAAAATTCTACATAGCTTAAGGTAATCTCAGTTAGTTTTGACAACAATATTGGCATGTCGGTAGCAAAGCCAAAAGTGAACAGATTGTTTGAAGATGTTAGAAAAGTAGATACTACTAGCATATTTACTGGCGTAAGCGATAGAAAAATGGTCGAGGTATACAGAGTGTGAATGAACGAACAAGAATGTTTCAAGTAGAGTTTGTAAAGAAGAGAGAAACAAAGCAGTACATAACAACAAGAAAAAACGAAAAGAAAGAAGGAAAACGTTGTACCTATAATAAATGACATGTGTTGGAAAGACGAGATCCAGTTGTTCTACTGACTATTTCATAAGTTATAGGTATCACGCCTAATGCTTTCTTTATCTCACAGGAACACGAGCTAAGTAGGTTATGGTTGAGTTTTTGTACTTTCTGGTGCGAGTAAATAGTTTTTTATATAGGCTTCTGGTTCTGCCTGAATGAATTAAAAGGGATGAAACTGTTACACAGATCACTTTCCTCTGACGTGTGACGAAAATACGTATCAGTTTTGGATTAGAGTACCAACAGAGTAGTTGAACCACATTCTTTGCATGTAATTATCCACAGGTTGCGCGCCCTGCTACCTTGTCCTGGTGGTCGGGCTTGAATACCGTAATGACGCAACACGCTAAACTGACTGAAACTCAGTCCCTGCAAGTCCTGCCATGTCAGGAAGGTTGTTTGGATAGCGGTTAAACTAAAAGCAGTTACCATGGGGTACATGGGCTCCAGTAACCAATCGGATCAAATGGTCACCGGCAACCATGGGAATGCGTCTCCTGACGCTGCTCCGCTGCCTTGTGGATGAGACTCCAAGTCAAAGGCTCGAGGGTGGTCCCTTAGTAAAACCACCTGCTTCTGTCCGGGCGCCCGGGCTGTATCTCAGCCCTTACACAATGAATTGAATAAAGCAACAAACAATAAATGAAACTTATCGCGTGCTATTACACGTGTTGCAGTTTCCTTCTTTCTTCCCTTCCCGATGATAGTTAACGAATACTGTTTTAACTGGTTAAGCATGACTGCTTTCCTTCCAGATGAAGTTGATTATCCGTTCTCTACTTATATATACATTTTTTCTTTTCTTTTTTTTTCTTTTGATCTATGTTGTTTTATTATTATTGTGTGGCGCATCCTTCTTGGTGCCATATTGTACCAAGTTTTTATGCGTTTAAATAAATAAATAAATATTAATAAATACAGGTTGCGCGTGGGGACAAATACTTGGCACCAGTGACATTAGCTAGTCATAGCACTATGTCGTGAATTCGCAGAAGTTATAATTCATGAGCCAATGGATCAGCTCTCAGTGACTTGATGGTCTACGAGCTCGCCTTGTAACCAGTAGATCCTGGGTTCAAACCTAGTTGGGTGCATTCTGATGAAGATTCCCGAGTTAGGGAGAAACAGCTGTCTAGTACTCCCAGGTTTTCCAGTGATTCTCTAACCGATGTCAGCACATGACGAAATCCTGTGACTAATTATCTACTATTCTAACCCTAAGACTAACTCCAATCCTTCCTTAACCTAATTCTAACGTGAAAATGTCCTTAAACTAACCCTAATCTAACTCGAACCAACCCTAATCTATCCTTAACCTACGCCTGAAACCAATCTTTCTCAAACATAACCTGAAACTTGCCAGGTATCCGATTTAATAAAATCACACTCAACTAAGCATATTTTATTCACGATTACAACATTATTTACCAAGTTTTTACAAACTTTATCACTGAACGTTTAAAGTTCATCGATGCGGTCACACTCCACTGGTACTCACTGGTGCCTAAAGACTAACTTGACCCAATAAATTAATAAGGACTTCAACACGGAATTTGCCAAAAAGAAAGCAGTTTAATACAATGAAAAATTGTTCTGAATGCATATAACTTCTTAATCACTCAATGTTAGGACAGAATCTCAACAGGTTTTCTAGATTCATTTGAGTGATGTATACACACTCACATAGGTCTCACAATCACTTTAACCTATTTGACTTCCAAAGAAGGAGAATTTTTGCTAGACTAACCTAATTCATATGAGATGAAAAATAAACTAAATAACATTCAACCACTAGAGAATGATGAAACAATGGTTAGTTTTGATATAACTAGTCTTTATACTAATATACCAGTCAATATGGCAGCCTTAGAAGCAGTTAAAAAGAACTAACTACAGATCCTGAACTCAATCATAGGACAAAGCTGCCCATTGAACAAATTATTTTAGTGATTCAGTTATGCCTCACATCTACTATCTTCAAATTACAGGACAAAATATATAAACAACCAGACGGTGTAGCAATGGGATCACGAATATCCCCTATCGTAGCAGATATATTTATGGAAAGCTGGGAAAGTAATGCTCTTAATACGTTTACTCCTACTCCAAATATAAAGTGGAGATATGTGGATGACACTTTCACAGTGTTAAAAACAGAACATATCTCTAGCTTTCTGACACACATAAACTCACAAGTAGAGGGAATAAAATTCACATTTGAATCGGAAAATGAACAAGGAGAATTAGATATGTTAGATTGTAAAATAAAACGAATAGAAGAAGGCAAACTACACACTAGTGTTTATAGAAAACCAACGGATTCTAATAGATATTTAGACTTTAATTCGTTAGGGCAGGCTTAGTTAAGTGTCTAACAAACCGAGCAGTAGCACTAAGTAGCACAAAAAAGACTTAAATGATGAAATAAATGAGATAGAAGAAGCGTTGAATAATTATCCTATAAAATTCATTAGGAAGACAAGTAAAGACCAAAAGAAAAAGAAACATAATCGTAATAATAACATAAATAAGAGAGAATATGCGTCATCTACAGTTATACCATATAAAGAGGGGACATCTGAGACCCTACGTAGGATTCTGAATAAGGCAGGAATTGGAGTGGTGGTATTCAAATCTACAACCTCACTTAGGTAGGAAAAGCTCTGTCGATTAAAGGACCAGCTGATCCAATTAAACAAAATAATATAATTCACAAAATACCCTCCAATGACTGTGAGTTAAGTCAACTACATAGGTGAAACTAGTAGGTCAGGGATAGTCAGATTGTTGGAACATAAGAATTTAGCTAAGGTAAGAATGGTTGACCCCGAGAAGATAAGTAATTTAGAAAAAAGCTCAGCAATTGCAATGCATGCAATAACACACAACCACACAATAGGGTAGGTGAGAAAGGGTTAAAATTCTAAAAAGTAATATAGGTAGGTGGAGAGAGAGGTTGATTACTGAATCCTTGTTCATCGAGTCTACACTCAACACATGCGACAGAAATGACTCAATGCAAATACCAGAGATATGGAAGACATTATTACCGCCGGTCAAGTTTTAAAATCTTAAAATTCTTTTTCAATTCAAGCACATCACAACATTCTAACAAGTAACTTATTGTGACTATAAAAACACTCGTCTTATTTCCCATCTGATTGTAATTGATCAATAACACTCATATTATTATTATTTCTGAATGTACATTATCCCATATTGATTTTTATACCAATATCTAGTCAATTCCAAATATGTATATGAATGAAGGAAAATATTTGTGTGAGTAACTTGATATGATCATGAGTGGTAATAGTTTGTGCTCGAAACGTGGTCATTAGTTAATATCACTGTATAACAACAATGTACGCTTTGTCAAAATAAAATCTTATTCATGATGGAGAATGTGGTTTATAACCCAGTTCTTAGCGATTGAGTAATAATTGGCCTACTTCAGCAATACATACTTATCAAGGGTCGAACTCAGAACCGTCAGGTTACAGGACAAGTAGTATGCAGGATTCGTATGGAATAAAACTTCAAAGGACATCTAAGCGATAATAGCAAGTTAAATATGTGTTAAAAAAAACACAACATAAACTCACCAGCGTAAATAACTATGCCTTCCACACAATCGGTATTACGTAATACACATCCTCTGAGTAGCATATTTTTCTTGTGTATTGAAATTTGAACCTCGGGAAGTATACTAAAAAGAATATTAAAAAAAAATGATTACAATAGTACTTTTATTGATAAAACAACTGTGGATAAGACACAAAATAGAAACTGCAAGGTATGATGAGTGTGGTAAGAAGTATTCTAAAAAAGAACATGTACAATAAAACTTAATTTTTATAACCAGATAGGTTATGGTTGTGAGACCTGGTCACTGAGAGTGGAAGACATGAAAAGACTAGCTGTCTTTGATCATAGGTGCCTGCGTTCTATTTCCCGTGTACAGTGGCATAATAAGGTGAGCAACATTGAAGTTAGGCGCCGAGTTCTAGGTAAACAGGGGAAATCAATCGACGAAGTCGTGAAGTTACAAAGACTGAGATGGTTAGGACATGTGTTACGTATGCCAAGTCATCGCCTCCCTCGACGAGCAATGTTAGCGGATATAGGGTCAGGCTGAAAAAGCTAGTAGCGGTCAAACAAAAACTTGGCCTCACCAGTCAATGAAATCCACAACAGTTGGTCTAAGCCACGTAGGAAGGTGTAGACTTCCTGACTGGTTGGGGTCCTCGGGACGGTAAAAATCTATGGTTGGAAACAATTGGTGACATGGCTCAAAATCGTTCTCAGTGGCGCAGATGCATCCACTCCCTGTGACTTATGATCTTCAATGAAACTGTTTTGTATTTCTTTATTACTCCTTTGTCTCACACCTCTGCTCACTGTTTCTATTATGCCTTTCTTGTACTTTCTTCTCTTGCTTCGCGTGCTACACGGAATGTGGCGACTTGAACTTCCGCACATTTGTGCAAAGTTCTATGTCGAAAACAGACAGACAGACAGAACCAGATAGGTGCTTTCACTAATAAACAGATAGGTAGATAGATCAATTCCGTTGGATCTCAATTATGCGAAAGGCATTTTACACCTACCAGACTATTATAAGCCAGAGTTATTGTGTGTGTGTGTGTGAGAGAGAGAGAGAGAACTGCTGATATTGCCCAGTTGCATAGGTTGATGTAGGTGAGGCTGGGAATATGAGCCTAAAAACGGCAGAATTATACATCACTATAAAAAAAACAATAATTAGTCCTCTTATTATTACCACTTTTGTTGATCTCCTGAATTCCAAGTGCAACATGAGGCTTCAACAGCACATTTATACTTTGTTCTTTTCTCTTCTGTCTCATTTCGCTGGTCCAAAGCAAGGATCACGAAATCAAGGCAAGCTTTCATTTCTCTCAAGTCTGTGTGGAAATCAACAGCACTACTCAGCATGAAAAATAAGATCCGGATTGTTAACTCCAATGTGAAGTCAGTGCTACTATACGGATCAGAGACTTGCCCAGCGCATCACGGAGAGCACTTCGAACAAACTACAGACCACCATCAACAGCTGTCTTCGCTCAATAATACTCGAGATCAGATAGCCTACCAGACAAGATCAGCAACAAAGATCTCTAGAAATGAGGGGGCGAACCAACCAGGAGCCTATTGTACAACATATATGCGGGAAGAGATGGAGGTGAATCGGATTGGCCATACCCTGAGAAAGCCATCAAGTGACATCACAGGCTAGACCATTGCTCGAGTGGAAACCAAATGGGAAGCAGTGAGTTAGTTGTCAGTACTATGGTGACATAGCGGAGGTCATGTTAAGAGGGGATGAAAGCATGTGGGCAGAAGTGGAGCCATGTGAAAATGGTGGCAGAGGACCGAACTCCGTGGAAACGTGCATCTGAAGCCTTATGTTCCTCTAGGAACTAAAGGAAAAGATAATAATAAAACCGTCTGCCCACAAGCTTTCATCCTTTCTTGACATGATCTCCTTAATGTAATCCTGGAACTCACAACTAGTTGCTTACTTCCTATTCTGATTCCACTTGATGGTCTGCCTGGCGTATGATGTTGCTCAAATAGTCTGTAACCACAGTTTTGGAAAAAATCAACTGAATTGTCGTTCTTATGGAAAGCCTTCTAATAGAGAAGACGGGGATAAAATTTAGTGACTCAAAATTTCTGATTACAGTAACACGTTCAGAGGGAAAATGTAGCCTGTTAGCGACAGTAACTGACTTTGGGACAGTCACTTCCGGGTTTAAAATACTGCTCAACCTCTTTCATCCTAGTTGGTTGATTAGGTAGTATTATAATGTTTGTACATATCAAACCCGGCTTACAGTTTGGTACGTAAATGATCTGCTTCTTTCGCTGTGAATAGAGAAGCGGCGGTACTTTTTAGTCAATCAATTTGAACAACAATAATCTGTGATACAAATCATCAAATTAGTTAAATAACAGGTATTAACATTCATCAGCAAGGCGTATATCTGCAGACTTGAGTCACTTAGTGCTACAGTGGGAGAAGTTACCACTGAACTACCTGAGCTCAGAGAGTTTGTTCGAATCTCAAAGAGAATATAAGCCCGTCAAGACTGTAGACAGACCTCGCTCACGAACACCTTTTGGTTAAAACGTGAGCTCGTATACCCTTTTTACACAGCTTATAACCTGCTAAGCACGTTTTCAGAATGCGTTAACTAAGGGGGATCGAACCCCAGACCACTCAAATCGCATTTCGCAAATACTTTTGTTGTCAGAGTAAACAGTGAGAAAAATCACATCTTATGGGCCTTCGAAGATGAATAATGTGTAATGACTGATTATTTTTTTTTTTGACTGAATACCGAAGAACCTCGGAGAAAAGTGTATCACTTTAAGTTAGCATACTTAAAACTTAAAACAAAAACTTCTCAAATAATCAAATAGACAAGAAACTGTACAAGGGAGAGTAAATAATTGAATGTGGATTTTCAGAATCATGACATTGTCATCGAATGAATACATTTGTGTCAATAAGATTATTTCTTGACTTGGAAACCTGCTTAGAACCCCCGGACTACCGAAATCTCCATCATTATATTATTACATCGCACTTCTCGTGTTCACCGTCGTGAGTATTGAAAATGTTTACACGCCCTACTGATTCTAAAGTTTCGACTAAAGTTGAGAAAAGGCATTCTCCTTGGGTGTCAACGTATCACAATACATGAAATGACAACAAACTACGTCTCCGCAGGAAATGACGTCTTTGGGTCGCGTATACATTCTTCACTGACTTTCAACCAAATGTCGCGCAAATCTTGAAAGAGCCAAAGAAGAAAAATCAATAAGAGATTCGTATGCACTTTAGATTAGAATGATGTGGAGTCAAACGATCCACTATCAATTACCATTTTCTCTTGAAGACACCGGATGAAGATGAAATATTATGCAATTAATTCTGTTGAGAATTCTGTACATTTTATAGGGCGCTGTCCAGATTAAGGAGACAGCTTCATTAAACATTGATGATAAGTGGAATATAAGGCTTCAACAACACCTCTCCATTTCCTCGTGTTCTCTGAAATTCTGTTCGGCTAGCTCCATTACTTGCCATCATCTCTCATCTCCTCCATATCACATCCGGACGCCCAACTCTTTGTTTCCCACCAGGGTTCCACTAAACGGCCTAATGGTCTCCTCAACATGTGTCCAATCCATTTCCATTTTCTTCAGAATATTTGTTAAGAAATAGGTTCTTGGTCGGTTGCTTCTCAGAGTTTATTGTTGCTAATCCTCTTGAGAGTTTCTGATCATCAGGATGTAGACAACGAGGGTAGCTGTTGATGAAAGTCTGCAGTGGCCTGTTGGAAACGCTATTCGTGACACGCCATGCTTCAGACCGATAAAGAAGAGGTGAATTACTTAACACTTGGTGTTTGAAAGGTGAATTTTATTCTTTATGCTGAGTACAGAAGATTTCCAGACTGATTTAAGATTCATGAAGATGTAGCTTGACTTTCCGACCCTGGCTTCCACATCTTCAGCTGCGCCGCCTGTAGTTAAAAAGATACTCTCCCTAGATAAGTGAAGGAAGTGGTCTCTTTAAATTTTCACCCGCTGATATTGATAGGTACTTGTTCTAGCTGGCTGTATCACTTTCGTCTTCTCTGTGTTCACTTGAAATTCTATCAATGTTCCTTCTTCTTTCGGCTTCTTAGTTTTTGCGTGTAAGTCTTCGCATTTATGTGACTTTAAACATAACCAAGTTTCTATCCGGGAAAAGATCAACACAAGTGAAACCTATAAAAGACAGCCAAGGGAACCCAATCACCAAGGAAGAAAAACAGATTAAACAATTGGCGGATCACTTCAAAGGACTATTAAACCGATCACCACCTGAAACCCATCCAGAAATACCAACAACAGCGCGCACACAACTGCAAGTTGACACCAATCCTCCAATGAGAGCTGAAGTCTTGAATGCAATCAAGCTTCTGAAAGCTGGAAAAGCAGCCGGACCAGATGGAACACTCCCTGAAGCACTGAAAGCGGACCCAGAGACGGCAGCAGATATGCTGACTCCATTATTACAAAAGGTCTGGAAGGAGAGAAAGGTGCCTACTGACTGGAGGAAAGGTGACCTCGTGAAACTACCAAAGAAGGGCGACTTAGGACTCTGCAAGAACTGGCGAGGAATCATACTCCTGTCGACGCCAAGTAAAATCCTGAGTCGCATCATCCTGGAAAGAATTAAGGAGGCACTAGATACAGAACTCCAACCAGAACAAGCTGGATTCAGGAAAGTCCGGGAAATCATGTTCTGACCAAATTGCAACTCTACGCATCACCACCACAGAACAAAGCATGGAATGGACATCAAACCTCTACCTCAACTTTATAGACTTTGAGAAGGCCTTCGACAGCGTCGATCGTGAAGCAATTTGGAAATTACTCGAGTACTACGGCGTACCCCAAATATTCATCAACCTTATTCAACAGCTGTACGACAACGGCACCTGCCAAGTGATCCACAACGGAAGACTCAGCGAGGCGTTTGGAGTAGACACAGGAGTCAGACAAGGGTGCTCACTATCACCAATGATATTCCTGATTGTGGTGGATTGACTGGATTATGCGTCATACAGTGAGTGGGAAACGAGAAGACAGAGATATCCTGTCTGGACCGACGTGAAGAACCTAGAAGACCTGGATTTCGCGCGTGGATGATTTATCTTTGATGTCACACAAAATCGAAGACTTGCAAGCGAAAACCGACAAACTGGTCGAAGAAGCAGCAAAGATAGGGCTAAAGGTGAACATAGACAAAACGGAGGTGATGAAAATAACCAAACAACAGCAACAACAGCAACATCCAGCCACAATCACCATCAACGAAAGGGATTTGAAAGAGGTTACTTCATTCACTTCATTTATCTAGGGAGCATTATCTCAACTACAGGAAGTCGGAACGGACGAGGATGTCAAATCGGGCGAGAATCGGGAAGGCGAGCGAGAAACACATTCATCCATCAACCTGACAACAATCTCGAAATCTTCGTCACTCAGCCAGCATCAACAACAAAATTCGATCGGATCTTCAAAACAAACACGTCAAGTCAGTCAGTTCTTCTATACGGATCAGAGAGAAACTTGACGGGCGGGTCACAAAGAATATTTCCAACAGCCTGTTGCATGCAGACCTTCATCAACCAACAACTGTCTTCGCTGGCTCTATACTGAAGATCAGATGGCTGGGCCGGGCCGGAAGGAATCACCAACAAGAAACTATGGCTATGAACAAGCAAAACAAGAACGAATCACCAACCAACAAATATGCAAGATGAAGCGGAGATGAATTGGACACTCGCTGAGGAGTCCTTCGCTGGGTGACATCGCGCGTCAGGCCATTGGTCGAGTGGAAGCAGGTCGAAAGGGAAGCGGCGAATGGGTCATCAGTGCAATGGTGACATGGAGGAATTCGTGTGAAGAGGAGTTGAAAGAGTATGGACTAACATGGATGGGTGCAGGTGGAAAGTACAGCAGAAGACAGAAGCAAGTGGAGATGTGCAGTTGAAGCCCTGCGTTCCACTAGGAACCCAAGGGAACAATAATAATAATAAACATAAATCATCCGCGAAGTCCAGGTCTTCTAGAGTCGTCTTCTAGAGCCTAGTCCTGCAATTGGATCCACTTCAAAGGCATCGCTGAAGTAGAATAGTAGATACTACTACTACTATTATTATTATTTTGATTAACGTGTACACCAATTAAATACAAATTAATATTGAGCTGAGGAATATTTGCTAATTAGTACAGGCGGCTGAAAACACAAATATTGAATTGTTAAACCCAATTAAAATACAATTATAATTCACTCAATTATATAACACTAAATCGGTTCATCAAAATAAAAAAAAAATTAATTAGGTAATTAATTTACATGACAGAGGAACACAGTATCGTAAAAACTCAAATGAATTTTGATTAACCTTAATTTTTCAAGCATGATGAAGTTTTTTAACCTACTACAATAGCTTTATCGGTGGCCTACCATATAAAGCATAATGTGTGCTTTATTTAGTACAATGGTGGGCGACGTGTACCTGAATAACTGAGTAGCACTTTTTATCACTATAACCGCTTTAACAGCAGAACATGGTAGTATGTGGTAGCTGAGTTCATTTCTTTGACAAAATGATGTACCATTATGGCAAAATGCAAAACCCTTACGTGGAGATCTCTATTCGCAAGAGGCCCTTTGTTTTGTGCTTCCTTTTATGCTTTCTTTCGATTGTTACAGACGGATCTTTTATTTCTTTTCTTTTCGACTTAACCCACAGCTTCGTTATTCAAGACTCATGTAGAAGATACCACACACACAATATACTACTTATGAAATCCTGTCAGTAGCATACGCCACCCCACTATATATTTTAACATTGATAAACGAAGTAAAATCGATAAAAGACTAGAAAACAATGAGTAACAACAGCTTAAATTGCTAAATAACAACGGTAATTCACAATTCTAGAAAATTCTAACATTTTCAAAAGATTTAACTGGTGGATGGTGACTAGCAGTGGAATCCAATCGACGGGAAAATTAAAAATTCAGTTAAATTTTCAATATATGTAATTGTTATGTACAAGAAGTACACTGAAGTTCGGTTCCAACAACGTCACCAAAACTAGGTATGAGTCCATTTGTATATTATTATTGTATTATATTATTGTATCCTTTAGTTCCTAGAGGAAAATAGGGCTTCAGCTGCGCACCTCCATTGCCTTCTGTTTTATGACAACTTTTTCACCCCGCTCCAGGTCTGTCCATTTGACTGGCACTATAAATAATGCTGAAACTGGAGTTCGACTCATCTGAAGACCAAATGTCAGTATATAATGCGACCTGGGTTCGACTTCCGGCCGGTGCACACGGCTTTATATGCGTCGGTGGCACAGTGGTTAGGACTCTCGCCAGCCATGCACATAGTCCGAGGTTCGATCCCCTGCCGCCTCATACCTGATATCTATGGTCGGCCTGCAAAATTTGGGCTAACGATATCCACGCTGAAAATTCCATACTTGTACCAAAAATACGGTGTGGAATCAAGCAGTGATCAATCAATCAATCAATCAAGCTGTACCCAAGAGCACACAGAAAAGAGGATAGAAACCTCGAAAAGTTAAGCCAATAAATAATTAATTGAACTGGGTACAAAAGTTCTGGCTCCCCGATATATATATATATATATATATGATGAAACTCACATTTTCCCGTGAAATTTATACAATTCAGCATTTGGAGCTTCTACTTCAATAGGATATAAGAATGTTAAAGGTGAGAAAAACCCCTGTAAAAATAAAAGTGTTAAAAAACCACCATGTCAAAGAATACCAAAATACTTTATTATGGAAATAATTTGTTAAAACTGTTTGAAATATATTTACATATATACGCTCTCATTGCCCAGATTATGAGTACTTTTGTGATAGCTAACACAACGTATAACCATTTTAGCATTCGGCTCCATCTCTAGTTTAGAGTGTGTGCAACAGATGACAAAGTTCACTGTTTTAGATCCATGGAATAAAATTATTATTAATTTTATGAAATCAACCAACGTATTATTTCGTCCTTACTTAATTTAACGCAATGTCCAGTCTGGATTCCACTGATAACTACCATCCGTCAAAGAACATCATGTGATCCATCGGATATCGCGGGGAAGGTCCGTACTTGATACCGACATATCAGCAGAGACCAAGTATTTTGGTCTAGTAAAACCCCGGCATGAAATAATTCAAATAAAAACGATTAGTAATGTTTGCGTAACGGTTGTCTGGAGCTTTACTAGCTGACTGGTGCACAAAATGAAGTCTTCGATAGTAAAACTACCGAAATGATAGTAAGACAAAAAGGAGTAACGCATTAACTATTTGGAAATTCCCTCCCCAACGATCTAACTACAGTATTTATTCTTACCTGTTTATATATATATATATAGCGATATATCTTATATATCTCTAAGTGAATGAATTCGCTGAAAAGAGAATTCCTCGCTGCATAACGTGTTCTGTTTTTCAATAATATACATGAAGGTATGAAAGGAAGACAAAAGAAGCAGATTTTGAGTAACTTTTGCAAATGTATGTATAGACAAAGTCGGGTTACTAGTCTCACGCCCAATCCTACCTGTTTTCTAAGTTTGACACCACCTAGTAAACTAGATGAGCTTTCAAATGTGTGTCGACAATGGGTGGAAAGCCAATCGTGCACGTGGTTGAAGTGGGATACCAAAACAAAACTTCACATTGAATCTCTACAACAGATCACTTACATTAGCAGATAAACTCGGAATAATTTCTCGTTGTTTTAAACTAGATTCTCCATCTAAATTTGATGTTTCAATATGACAAATTCCAGTTGTATTCGATGTACTTAATAGTAAAATGTCAGCTGGAATGATGTCGTTTGTATGTAAACGAATAAAATCCCCAGGACGTAGATATTGCCATTCGCTAACTACATATTCCTTTTCTTGTCTATGGTGAAAAGAGAAATTAAAATAAAAAATAATATTATTAAGAAAGGCATTAGTAAGATGTATGAAAAACAATTAAAGTATAAAAATGTGAGGTATTCAAATATATGAAGCTGGCAGAAGAAGCATCAAAGATGGGAAGGCCTTTAGGTGAACATAGATAAAACAGAGGTGCTGAAGATTCTTGGCGAACAGAAACAGCAACAACAACAGACAATGGACAGCAATCAGCCAGCATAGATTGGAGGAACCTGAAAGAAACAACCTCCTTCATCCACCTACTTACCTGGGAAGCATCGTTTCAACTACAGGCCCACGGAACTGACGAGGATATCAAAGCAGCGAGGATCGGGAAAGCAAGACAAGCTTTCATTACTCTCAAGTCTGTATGGAGGTCAACAGCACTCAGCTTCAAAAATAACATCCGGATTTTCAACTCCAATGTGAAATCAGTCAGTGCTACTATACAGGTGGATCAGAGACTTGGCCACAGCGTCATAAAAAGCATCTCAAACAAACTACAGACCTTCATTAACAGTTGTCTTCGCTCAATACTCAAGATCAGATGACCGGCCAGAAAAGATCAGCAACAGAAGGAGATCTCTGGCAATGAGCGAACCAACCAGGAACCGATTGTGAAACAAATAGGCAGGAAGAAATTGAGATGCATTGGCTGGCCATACTCTGGGGAAACCATCAAGTGACATCACTAGACAAGCCATCGCTCGAGTGGAACCCAAAAGGGAAGCGGTGGGTTGGTTGTCAGTCCAAGGGTGACTTGGAGGAGGTCATGTGAAGAGGAGATGAAAGCATATGAGCAGACTTGGAGCGGAGTGAAAAAGTTGGCAGAAAACCAAGGGCAATGGAGACGCGTGGCTAAAGCCCTTTGTTCCTTTAGGAATTAAAGGATATGATAATAATAACAAATATATGAATATAATTTTTAATTTTAATTACCGATTTGCATGGACTCTGTTAGTGTTAAGTTACGATCATGGAATGACGTCCGCTGAAATCAAGAGAGTATTAGACCCTTGAGCGACATTGTAGACCAGGTTCATGGGTGGCACGCGAATGGGAAATGACCGAGGATAGGAGATCGTTTGAGGAGGAGTTGAAAGGAAAATCGTAGAACCAGCTAAAGACGACTACAGAAACTAGGATGACATGGAGATGTGATGTTGCAGCCCTTTATTCCACTCAGAACCAAAAGGAATAATAGTAATAACAATACTCGCAAGGCGTTTCTCTCTGGTCTGGGACTCTTCAGCAGTAGCCACCCACCCATGATCCCCACTAATAAGGGTCGAACCCAGGACGGGACCATCTACAGTGCAAATTTAATGAAGCATGCAAATATAATATTTTAAAAAATCCTTTTAGTTACGTAGGCATGTGCAGACAACCTGAGTGAAGAAGAAACGGTCGAAGAGTCTTGGTAATGAAATGGTTTAAAATCATTCTAAACAACCCAGAAACATTCACATTTCACGATTTCTTAGATCATATCAGTCCTAACTATTCTGCATACTGTAGTTCTTTCTCTTGCATACTTCTGTCCATTATTCTTTCTTGGTATTTCTTTGTTTCTTTTTTCCTCATCCTGTTGTATACTTTTACTAGACTGAAATGATACTGTGGTGAGAGCTGCCTGCTTCCCAAATTGGGTAGACAGTAATTTACGTCAGCGTTTACGTCCCCAGTATTGGCCGTGAGAAATATAAGAACAAAAACTGATTCAACAACCAACCGCAAAAGACTTGCGTAGGTGAGTACAGTTAGAATATAGATGATGTGACATTCAAAGAACAGCCACAAAGAGATGAGAGATTAACTTTCAGTGAGAAACAACCAATCAGAAGATTGTGTTTTTCTGTTTACAATAATCTATAATAATATACATGAAAATCTATAAATATGTGTTGATTTCCGTAATAAATGATCTGTTGTCTGTGTTATGTACTCGTCGCCAAATTATTTTTATGTACTGGTCGAGAAGTTAATAGTCCTGACGCAAGAAAGACGGAAATCAGAAGACCACTAGGTTTGCGATGATACTTCTATTTTCCAAACACAAGGAGAATCAATGTCCCACAAGAGTGTGAGAGCAAAACTATATATGAATGTCCAACCAAGTGTGTGAACAAATCAATAGACAGTCTTAACATGATTGGCTAATTATAATGGAGTATTGATCCATATATACATAGCAAAATATAACAGACATGTCAAACAAAAACACATATTATATATAATATAAGGGGAATATACATTGTTAAAGGAGACAGGTTCATCAAAGTGAAATGGTCACAGACTAAGACAGCAATAGAAAGAGAGAACACCATACACACACAAACATATATATATATATATATATATATATGGATACATATCAGTCTGGCCTTTGTCTTCTTTTGTTACAATACCTCTTCGCCAGCATATCTGTACTTAGTACAGACAGAGACTTGAATGATGATGTGTTCAACTTAAACTTGATTTCTAGTGCAGACCAATGGATTCATCAGATGCATACACCGGCATATAAGAGAGCGATGGTTTTTCGCAACAACTCCACTGTTTCAAAGCCAAAGCACTGTTCACTAGTCTACTGAATGACATCAGACACCTCTTTACTAAGCTGTTTATTTTAGACGGAAGTGATTATTCTCCACTGATATATGAAATTTTGTAGACGTCTTCTGACGCGCTTTTCGATTAGTACGCTACATTTGCTCAGTTACATTGAACACTTATTTCTCTGATGTTTCTGGCCAGGAAGTTGTGGAATTTATTGTAATTATTTTACTTTCGAACACTGAACCTGTGAACATAGTCTTGTTGACTTATAATACCTATAAATAACTGTTTGGTACATTGTGACTGTTTAACGCTAACTAATAGCCATAATTGTATATAGTGTTGGATTTACTTAACCAAGTTGACCCAAGTCAGTCAGTCTATGGATTTGATATCACTTTTGTTAACTGTAATTAGCAGTGATACTACTGCTACGTGTTCTTTTGTTGTTGTTGTTGTTGTCGCTGTCCTTCGTGTTGTAAAATTTTTCTCCCTTTGCTGGTGTTCTTCTGATTGCTTTATTTCTGGTTTTCCTGATTTTTAGGGGAGCAACCCAAAAAGTCGCTCCTCTGTAAACTGCATAATTATGTAACAACCTCCTTCTCAGGCATGAGGCTAGCAACCCCACTCTGTAAACAAAACTGCTACAGAAACTTCTCTACAATGTATAAAATGCTGTAGATGTCTTCTGAAATTGTGTGACGTCGATTTTCTTATTCTTTTAGTTTCCCAATGGAACATAGGACTTCAGGCTAGAGCTTTTTTTAAAGTTTCAGAAGCAATGAATTTATTTTTACAGGGTAGAGTTGCTAGCCTCATACCCAACCTTCCTTTTTTACCGGTTTTATTACCAGATTAGCGAGGTTTAGGAATGCATCGGCCAAGGATCAGCCACTGGACTTTATACAACGTTGGTGAGTATTCTATAGCTGCACCACCAACACACCTGACATTGATTACTTGGATAGTAATGGGGTGAGAGCCGTCTGCTAGCCACGACTGGTAGACAGCAATTTACGTCAATGTTTACGTCCCAAATCTAGGTCATGAAATAGAATGAAAACAAAGACTAACTCAACAACTAATCACAGTAGACTTTGAGTGGGTGGATACGATTAGCAGATATATGGTCTGACCTTCAAAGAAACGGTAACAAAGAGATGACAGAATAACTTTTAGCGAGAAAACAACCAATCAGAAGACTCTGTTTCTGTGCTAATAATAACGAATAATAATGTACATAAAAATGCCTAAATATCTCTTGATTTCCTAGGCCTTGTCTTTTTTCGTTACAGTCATGCATGAATATAATTATATTCTGAATGTCATGCTTTTAGTATAAAATGCGACAAATTGTAACTCAATGTACATACTTCATACTGTATAGATAGTTAACAGTAAAAATGTCACCAGAGATGAACAAAAAGCAGGCGCTGATGACATACATAAAAAATTGATGTACGTGCAAATTGTTATGACAGGTCATAAGGTACATAATACTTCCTGACAATTTAGGTCATGGATATTGATCTTTGCTTTAGCCAATCGAAATAGAAGAGTAAGACAGTAATAAAAACAAACGTGAATTCGGTTAATAATTAATGTAAAACGTGTATTTATCTACAGAGTAAATGAGTGAAATAAGCAAGCACTACTTAACTTTCCAATTAGCAAATCAACGATTATTTTTCAAAAAAAAGAGTCCACAAAAGTAAAATAATATCATCGGTGACTCAGAAGAATAGCAGCCCAAACCGAAACGACCTTCGAACGCAAAATGACCTTGAGCAAGGAATCAGCTGACTGTATCATTTCCAGATGTAATCATGAATGCTTTACACCTTTTGCGTTGCAAATTCGCTCCAGATCATGTTTTCGATTACTGTTTGGATAACAGACTGATTGCTAGGTCGGAAATTTGCCAATGCGGAGGAGTTATGTATATACAAAAATACACAGATTGCATTGATGGCTTTGTGTATGTGATGTATTGAGTGCCGAAGCAGGAAATCGGTTCGAGAAGGTTTGTCGTTGTTTTTTAGTTTACAGATCCCTTAGGAACTTGTTTCTCGAGGTCTAAACTACCTTTAACGAAAATTTTAATGATCTGTTACTTCTGGGTCCTGAAGAGACCAGTCACAGCAACAGCTTTTGCGACAGAAATTTCAGAAGTGTCAGCAGTACAATGGTACCAATACTGTAGAGACGTTTCCTCCTGGAAAATGAACACCCTAACTCAAGTTCTCAGAGGAGTCTGTCTGTCTGTCTGGATTCAACATAGAACTTGGCACCGAAGTGCAGCAGTTCGAGTTGCCACGTTCCAAATAGCACACAGAGGTAGACAAGAAGATGAGTGAAGAGAATCAATAGAGTTTGACAAGTATAAGAGTGAAACAGAATGGGTAATGGTAGAAAGGAATATGA